CCCCCCCCCCCCGACCCAAGCAAAGCATTCCATTACTGCTACGAAACGCGGTTACATGGTTATTTTGTTATTTTACCGTGAAACGCAGCGCGGCAGGTGGGTCCCACTGCCGAAGTAGGAGAGGTCGGGGAAGCTTCAAAACACTTATTCGCTACTTCCCCGTCATATGTACAATGTCTAAACATTTGCGGCGAGGGTTATTGACTCACTTCAACGGAGAGAGCACTGTTCTAACGAGGTTGAACATACATGACCTTCCTTTGCCTTATCGTAACAGGCGAGTCCTACGATCGAGGAGATCACGCAGGAGAGGCTGGAGGCCTTCAAGCTCAAGGTGCAGAAACAGGAGCGCCTGGAGAGGCTGTGGACGACACACGGCTCGTCTGCGAGAGCAAAGTGCAGCGTCTGGGCGCCAATCGTCACCCTCGGCAACATCGTACAACGAAACAAGGTGGGTACATGTAAACCTACACTATCGAAATAAAAGCAACGAAAATGGCTACATAGATTGTGCAGTGCAATACCGTACCACGAAACAAGGCGGGTGCAAGGACAAACTATCGAAGCACGATAGAGACGCAAAATATGAGACGGTGCAGCAGAAGCGATGATGAATACGGCGGGGGCAGGGTGTTGCTGGTGCTCGCTGATGGGCATTCTCGAGCTTGTTGGTGGGAAGGTGGGCGTTCATGAGAAGGCGCCTTTCCAGGCACGTCACAATGACTGACCCGCGACCGGTTGCCGATTCCTGTCCAAATGTGTACAATTCGGTTGTGTTGCGGATACGCTAGGGTTGAACGAGGCGCGAAGCAACAGTCTCTAACAAATATGGAAATCGCAACTCAGGCAGGGCCTGCGAAACTGATCTTTCACCCAAGGCTTCAATAACTCCACTCCGCAAATCCAACCTCCTTCCGCCCCGTTTCCGTTATTTTTTTTCCGCGTTGGCCTGGTTAGGTGCGGCTGTGCCTAGGATACTACGCTCGCGGAGGCTTTTCCGGGTGGACCAGGAAGGAGCAGGACATCGAGCCGCAGTCCGTGGAGATCACCGATACAGGAAGGTGGAGGCTTCGGCACGGCAACAAGCTGGACGTGGTGTGCCAGTCCCTCTTCCCGAGGCCGATTCGCTTTAGGGAGGTCTGGAAGCAGGTGTGTGCTCTGTTGTAGTGTTTTGTGTGTTTGTTTGCACGGTGATTGCTGCTGCTGTTGTTGTTGTTGTTGTTGTTGTCTTTCCATCAATGACCGTTCCGGTCTCTCTATTCAGTACCTTCATCCGCCTACTAACCTGGTTTGGAATGTTTCTTTGTCTGGGAGAGGTCTGTCTGTCTGTCTGTCTGTCTGTAGGGAGAAACCTTGTGTTTCGGCTTGGCCGCGCCGACGGCACCGTTGTGTTGGGTCCAGAACACCCACCTGAGTATGACGCACTCGCTTCCTAATTTGTATTGGTGCCACCTCGCCCGCAGGCTGATTCACAGTCTGCACCGCTTCTTGTGGTTACTGATGACAATGTTGTTGTCTTCACATTAATAACCACTGGTCCAACTGACTGACGCGGACGGACGCTTTCCGTGGTCACAGGTCAACTGTAACCAAAAAGGGTTCTGTACACGCTTAGAAAGAAAATGTGAGCGAACGAATGAGCACGTCTTTCTGTTTGGATCACTCCCTGTGCTCTTGATGCTTCTGACAACATCCACAAACCAAACGATGTTGCTTGTTTTTGTTGTTCTGCTGCTCAGGCGTCCGGAGACAAAGCGCTCTTCGTCTGGCGCCCTGTCCCCCCGAGCTCGGCGTTCGTGGCTATGGGCATGGTCGTCACCACAACGGAAGAGCCTCCGTCACAGGACTCGGTGCGGTGCGTGCCGAGGCGCTGGGTGATCGAGAGCACGTTCAAGCCCGTCAAGGTGGGCAACGTTGCTAGGGTTTGGTGTTCTGTGGCACCCACTGCTTGCTCTGTGTTTTTTCTCATCTCGTGCTAGTATGATAACCTTTGCCTCTCCTTGCTGTATGGTGGTTGCGCGCTACTAGGATAAGTGTTTTGCGGTATTGTTTTTGATCATGTCAATCGGTAAGATTGGCGCCACGAAAAGTCTCGTCTCGCCCCCCCCCCCCCCCCCCCCCCCCCCCCCCCCCCCCCCCCCCCCCCCCCCCCCCCCCCCCCCCCCCCCCCCCCCCCCCCCCCCCCCCCCCCCCCCCCNTCACCGAATTTCGGCGAAATAATTGCCTGGTTTACATGCCGTTAGGATTTCTTGGAGAAATGTCAAGCACGGCGGTGAGAGTGTCGCCAATATCCTCATTTGACAAGCTTTGCTTTTTGCACGCATCGAGTTTGTTCCATCATCCCATCTGCGCAGGTGTATTCATTCGTATGACCGCAGTACGAATCACTTAGTGAAATTTCTTTTACGTTTTCTTGTTTGGCGTGTCTCCATGCTTGTCTTGCGTTTTATGTCTGGGTATTTGACTGGCTTCTCGCATGACCTCTGCTGTGCTTTCTGTGTCTTGTTCGTAAACTAACGGACTTGTTAAATAGGTATGGGACGATGCGGGTACAGAAGGTCGAGCAGGATCTATCTGGATGGTGAACTCCCTCCACCTCATGGCCGCCGCCGTGGGCCACGATGTTCCTGAAGGACCTTTCTGGGACCTCAAGGTAAGATACATGAGATAACCTACATGTATATATGTCGACATATGTTGACGCACGGTAGTTAGGTTGTCTACACTCTGATCATGTATGCTCATGTGCATGCGTGCACTCTGGTTATGTGGATATTCCTTCTTTTTTCGTTCCGGCACCGTCGTTCGTTTGTCAATCGAACCTCTGTCTGATGGTTTACTATGTGTTTGTTTTCTTGTTACCTTCCCCCATGCCCAGGACGACCGTTTCTTCTTGACTCCCACGGAGGTGGCCGAGATCGAGGCGTCTGCCACAGGGGGCACGACGACCAAGTTCAATCCCAGCAACTCCAAGCCTCCCTCCGTGCCTTCGGGGACTAGTTAGGTCGAAAAGGGCCGCACCACTTCTGACCTTGCCTGGCCAGGCGTCGACTGGTGTACCAGTAAGTGGAGGTTGCTCACACCTACTTTGATTGTGCATTTGGGTCTGGTGTATTCTATCGTAGTAGGTGTTTGGTGACGGTCGTGACGGTTGGAGCGTCCGGTTTTGATCACGCGCGTTGGTTGTGTTGTGCTACGTGTTAATGTGAAGGAGACGTGTTGTAGACGTAGTTGCGTAGAAAATTGTGTTGCAGGCAGCTTGGCTTGATAGCTTGTGGAGAAGGAATCAACGGCAGCTTAGGGCGAAATTCGGGTTATACTGAAACGACCCAAAGGTCTTGGTTGATTTCGGCGGGGAGGATTGCGTTGGAAAAGAGTTGTTTTTTTATGTCATTGTCAGCCGCCGGTGTGGTCTGTGTTGACCGAGAAATTTGTTGGTAACCGAAGGAACAAGTGCGGTATCTTCTGTAAACGCATTTATAGATCTTGAGTTGGATTTCGTTCAACGAACCACTGCTCGCTTCAGTTTAGAAATGGTCGCGCACGGTGTACGACGTGGGGAGTTGCATGTGCTTTGGGTGGGTCATGCGGGGTCTCGTCAAATACCCAGGCCAAGGCAAAGGGAAAAAACGTACGGATGTTTTTCCGCCCGTTGAATGCAAGTAGCGTCGTCTCTATCGGCAGAGCTTTTGAAATGACCCTCCGACGACCAGCGCTTGAAGGGGTTGTCGTGCATTGGTGCAGGTGTCACGTGGCCCAGAATAGTGTGCCACTTTTGGAGAAATAGGTAGACGCTTTTTTTTGTACGCTGGTGAGAACCATGACGCGCGGTGCGCGATGGTGAGTGCGATGTACATTTTTCTGCTTCGCGAAAAGCCCCCCACACCCATAGAAAACGCATTCAATTTGATTGGCTCGCACACGGTACTTGTCGTATGTACACAGGAGAGGAAAATCCAGCTTCGACTTTTCGACCGGAACTGTAAGCGTTTAACTGGAGCCGTCGAATTCACGTACACCCTCCTCCTCGCGACCGCATCCATCCGAAAACTGTAGGAATTTTATTGTTTCTTCCTCCGGCTAATTCAACGGTGGTGACATCGACCCCGACAAAGAGACATGCAGTACATGAACCATTCCGTTCTACTTTTTATATACGTTCAAGAAGAGATGGAAGGGAGGCCCCACAAGAACGACACCGCTTGCTGTTGACAATATTCCGTGCGCACGTGTACTAAGAGCACGCCCGTCCCTGCAGCCCGCCATCTCCTCGCGACCGATGTGCGTGGCACGTAACAATCTCGACTTGAAGCGGAGCACGACAGACTCCAAACAGGCGCAAGTACTCCAGCAATTCCTCGATACAACGAAGAACAACAATGGTGCCGCCGCCGCCGCCTTCAAACAGGCCACATGTTAGCAGCTCACTGATCTTGAGGGAGGTTGGCTCTCGACCTTTGTGGAGGCATACACTCACGCTTGGCGCAGGATGCCGCATGCAACACGAGGGAGGTCCCGCCGCATGACCTGCCGAACCGGAACTTCGCGGCGTGGCGAACCACCCCACCGACAGACATTCGCGATCCCATCCGCGCTGACTGCGGCTGATTTTCGACGCAACTGGGACGAAGGGATAAGTACAAGCATGAAGCACACACTGGAGGCTGGAGGCTTGAGGAGTACATGGCAACTGCATCGGAAAATGGAACGGGTTAACGAATCAGGGGATATGGCGGCTGTCTATTCCTGTCTGTAGGTATAAGACTGCTGCACAGCAGCACAGTCGTATGTCTACAGCAGTAGTCTACACAGATCGAGTCTACTCTACAGTCATAGTATCGTTGCAAGCGTAAACCAGGATCGTTGTCTGCAGTAGATCGAGCCTGCAAGCTGCTCTCGTAAACCAGGATACCAGGATCGTTTTCCTCACAGTGCCGAGCGTCATGACGAATCAAGATGCAGCCGTGGGACCTCACTGCTGTTGCTCCTCCTGTCCAGGTCACTCTCCATCTCAACACCTTCAACTCAGCTCTCTCTCCTTGATAGCTTGATTTCCAACGGGCTTGAGAAGAACCACGGTAATAGTTGAGAGCGGAGCTGTCTGGGCGGGCGTAGTGGAGAGCAAAATCGTACAATCTCCAAGGCCTTGGTACGGAAGGCCTTCGAACGATGCATGCGACCGGACGAGAACAGGTGAGACATTCGCCTTCGATGCAGTACTGTACATCGATGATGCAGGCTCAGAATACACACATAGTGCATGATCAGTGTTGAAAAACGAACGATTATTGGTATTGTAGCCATCCTTACGTCGGGCGGGAGGGCCGATCGATAGACGAGAGAACCTCTTCTCACCACAAGCGAGCGAATTCCTCCAACCTCTCTACGTTAACACGCTAACCCCCCCCCACGATACTGATCCTTTTGCCACCAACAAGACCCACTCACCATGCAAACCATGCGCCGCAAAGACCACATGATGTACGTGTGTCATTAACTTCCGTAGGGGACTCGGGACCAACAGCAGTGACGAAGAAGCACGCGACGATGGCCAAGATGTGCCAGAGCTTGTACAGGTGGGACAGATTGATGCTACAGCCTTACACAGTTTTACGTAAGGCCTCAGGTCAAAGCTGCTACCCAACGTATAGCGGCGATTCCGAATTCATTCGCGACTCCTCGATGATCTAGAATGTTTGGTCAGCTAGAAGTATGTGATGTCACCGTCTTCTAAGTGAGGGACCAATTAGTCTGGATCATCGAGGAGTCGCGCATGGTGCATGGCTTGAATTGTGAATACTTCCGCAGGAAACCCGGGGCCGACAGCAGTGACGAAGAAGCACGCGATGATGGCCAAGATGTGCCAGAGCTTGCACAGGTGGGGCAGATTGATGCTACGACCGAACGCAGGTGTACGTAAGGCCTCAGGTCAAAGTTGCTACCCAACCGGCAGCGGCGATTACGAATTCATTCGCGACTCCTCGATGATCAGGAATATTTGGTCCCCCAGCAAGTAGTAAGTGATATCACCGTCTACTAGCTGAGGGACCAAATATTCTTGATCATCGAGGAGTCACCAATGAATTCGGAATCGCCGCTGCACGTTCGGTAGCAGCTTTGACCTGCGTCCTAAAATACAACTGTGATCTGCCGTAGCACCAATCTTCCTCACCTGTGCATGCTCTGGCACATCTTGGCCATCATCGCGTGCTTCTTCGTCACTTTAGTCTCGAATTCCCTGCGGAAGAAATCACTATACAACCAATGCGCTTCAAATACCACATGATATGTGGACATGAACGTGTCATAAACTTCCGCAGGGAACTCGAGACTGACACCATTGACGAAGAAGCACACGATGATGACCAACATATGCCTGAGAGCTTGCACAGGTGGAGGAGATTGATGCTACAGCCGTATTGGTCCCTCAGTTAGTAGACGGTGACATCACATACTACTAGCTGAGGGACCAAATATCATATATACAGTAGGTCATCGAGGGGTCGCGAATGAGTTCGGAATCGCTGCTGCACGTTGGGTAACAGCTTTGCAGCTTAGACCCGAGTCCTGAAGTACAACTATACGGCCGTAGCATCAATCAGCTCTACCTGTGCAACTTCTGGAACATCTTGGCCATTGTCGCGTGCTTCTTCGTCACTGTTGATCTCGAGTTCCCTGCGGAAATGACTAGACTATACAAACAATGCGCTGGAAATACCACATGATATGCGGACAGTGGTACATTCATGTGTCATAATCTTCCGCAGAGAATTTGTCACCAACCGCAGCGAGGAAAAAGAAGCACGCGATGATGGCCAAGGTGTGCCAACGCAGGTAGAGGTAATTGGTGCTTCAGCAGTATACTGCTGTACTTTGGGACTCAGGTCAAAGCTGCTACCCAACGTGCAGAGGCCATTCCGAATCCATTGCGACTTTAGGATGATCTCCTGTAGACTATTTGTTCCCTCAGCTACATGTGATAGTTCGTACCGTGCTTGTAGCTACGGGCCGCACCCGGCGTTGTTTACGCACCCCCGCAACAAGGAGTCGACGATGACGAGGGAGAGGAGCAGCAGCGCGTGGTAAGGACCACGAACAGGACTCTCGGCCCACTGAAGCAAGGTATTGTTGCATATATGCGTATTAATAGTATTTCTCTCCTCACCACGCGGGTTTCCGTGGTCACTGACGGCAATCAGTTGGCTTCTTGTTTGTTTCAGTATCAGTATGTTCTTCCATGAATAGTCTATCAATGAAGAGAGGTCAGATTAGAATTAGACCTCTAGACTACACTTCGGGAGAACCCAGGGCCAAACGTTCTGGAACATGCTGTGCCTCATCCCTACCTTTGCGTACCGTGGCAAAACTCCAACCGTGCATGTATTGTACCAGGTGGGAGCCGGGAGCCGACATCGCGGGAGAACCGCTATGCAGTCCGAGTCCTCTACCGGGGACAACTCGCTGGACTTCCGGTCGGACGGCAGTGGCGAGGGTGGCGGCTACGTAATCCCTGATTCGATAATGATGATGGTCTCTGACTACTTGATTTTCATTAAAGTTGAGTTGCTGTTTCTTGCGATTGAGACACAAGCTGGGGGCAGAGTCCAATGCCGATTGGGTGTCAATCGTAGAAAATACAATACATAGACTGTGCATTTAGAACAAACCTCTGAATTTTTCCCTATTCTTGCTGTTGGGTCAAGGTGGCTCTTTGTGAGGAGGGTTTCTTCGTACTGTAGGTCATATCTCGAACCGTGGGGGGGGACTGTGTGTGGGTATCCAGTGAAGTAGGACTGATATACAGGACCTCCGGGGGCTACGTGGGTCTTTCGTGGGAATGATGAACATGACGCGCGAGTATCTTTTCGCGTCACCCACGATTGTAACTCGTCAAATAGTTTAACGAGTGAGGGAAATGAGCGAGGCAAGAAGACCCCCGCGCACCATGTTCACCATACCCACGTTCAACCGCCGGAAGCTCCCGCATGTCAGTGCTACTCTGCTGAGTACCCGGAAACAGGGTTGAATAGATAGTGCCACGTTGTGGCAAGGCAGCATTTTAGTGTTCAAGGGAAAGTGAAAATGGTTGGGTACGTGCGTGTGGTAGCGGTCGTGTTCGGCCAAGCTACTGGGCGCGGACAGCAAAAAAGAAGGTGGAATAGGGCAGGTTTGTTTGTGGAAAGAGTACGCAAAACGAAACTGGCCATTATTAATGAAAGCACGATAAGAGTCCGCGGAGTATGGCTCCCCGAACGAGAGAACGAGAGAATGAGCGCAAGG